AAAAAAAGCCTTGCAAAAGATGTTTACATAGAAAGTCTCTGCTCCATTTCCCGCCACGCCCACCCTGCAGGATGGGTCCCCCCAACCATCTACCCCGCAGGACACCCCCCACCTACCTGGAAATGCTCCTAGTCATCGCTGCCTCACTCCTTACATGCCCTGCGCTTCTACCCCAGTGCTGGGCATGCTGTGTGGTGGTGCTGCAGGTGGTCGGCTGTGTTATGCTTGTTCACATGACAGGCTTGGACTGCATTAACTTAGAACACTGCGCATTAAGACTGCTCTTGTAGAGAATGCTTTACTGACCTAAGGACCCTCTCTCTCCCATGGACAGGTGCTGCTTTCCTGCTCACACGTATTCCACAAGGTGAGTCATTCCACCCTGGCCAGGCCGCCTTCCTGCACTCATATAAAGTTTCCCCAGAGAGCCGTCTGTTTTATCCATAAGCACAGCACCATTTGTAGTCAGAAACATGACTAGGCTACAGTGCAGTTCTTCCGGCTTTGGAAATTAGTTTTGTGTGACAGAAGCACCACAGATATCTACATAACAGACTGTTGTTAGTGCTGCACATCAGAGCTGGCGACAGCTTAACTCCTACACTCTGCTTGACAGGGTTACACATAAGCATCACCTTTGCACCAGTAGACTTTCAGAAGTTTTTGATGTCTCTGCATGTATGTTTGTGTAAAAAAGTCATTTTTGGAACAGGTTTCATGAGGAAGGTGTTAACATCTGATGAAACTACTTCATAATCTAAATTGGATTAAGTCAATTACGAGAGAAAAGAACACTGTAATTACATTAGAAGTAAAAATGTTGTTTGTAAGTAATTATACAATTTTAAGTGAAATATTTTTCTTCAGGCATGCCTTCAAGCTTTTGAAAAGTTCACAAATAAAAAAACCTGTCCTCTCTGTAGAAAGAACCAGTATCAAACCAGAGTGATACACGACGGGGCTCGCCTGTTCAGAGTGAAGTGTGCCACCAGGTAACGGGCCCGTGCCCTGCAGGGTGGAAGCAGTATTTGCCACTCAGGCCGTGATAACTAAGCAGAGGGTCACCAGGGCCCAGAGCAGCCAGGTGGGGGAAGCGCCGAAGCACCTGTTAGATCACAGCCTTTAGGAGGTTGTCATTTGTATCTCTGTTTTAGAATCCAAGCCTGCTGGAGAGGGTACATCGTTAGAAAGTGGTACCAAAACCTGAGGAAAGCAGTCCCTCCCACAAATGCCAAATTAAGGAGGAAGTTCTTCGAGGAAAAGGTAGGTGCGTACCACTAACTCCACAGCCGCTGTGGAAGCCACCATTTGGGTCAGTGAAGGCAACAGCAGCGCAGTCACCGCTCACTTTTGAAATTTGAGAGTGCTTAACGTTCTGTCAACCCAGCGGCCTTCCAGCCTCAAGGCATGAAACCGTAGACTTGAAACTGCTTTTGTTAGGCCATTTTGTGCCATTTGTTCAGGTAAAGTCTCTTCTGATAAAATAGGACAAATGAGCTGTCACGAGCCCTGAACCTAAGACACTCTCAGTGTTCTACGAACTGGCTGGGCCATGTGGGGTCACCACATTACAGAAATAGACAATTCCTAGCTGGGTGTGGGGCACAGACCTTAAATCCCAGCACTCCAAGGCAGAGGCAGGCAACTCTGTGAGATCAAGACCATCTAGGGCTAAAGGGAAACTTGTCTCAAAAAGACCAAAAGGGGGTGAATAGATAGTTCTTTTTTATGACCACTTTCATCTTTTATTTTTATTTTAGTGGTTTTCTGTTGTCTCTGCCTGTATAAAAAGCACAGGTAGCATTAGGACGCAGGCCAGCATGGGTAGGCTAGGCTCTAATGCCTGCTCAAGCTTGGGGGCTCCTGGCCAAGAGCAGGTGCTCTGGGCTCTCTTTCTTTACCTAGGACATAGATGTCACTGCTGGTGTAAACTTTAGACAAAAATTGTATACAGGCCTGTCACACCGTAGGCACTGGAAATTTTATATTTATTGCAAAGGTTAGTACCTTTTCAAGTTAATTTCATGTAACTTGTTTTGGGTTTGCTCATCTGTTTGTGGTAGCACTTTGGTGTCCCAGTGTGCCAGCTTCGGATGCTTAACCCCTTAGCAACTCAGCCAGACAGGATGGCCCATGTCTGTAGTCCCAACACAGGAGGCTAAGGTGGGAAGATCGCTTGAGTCTGGGAGTTTGAGACCAGCCTGGGCAACATAGCAAGACCACATCTCACAACAGGAGTCAGCTTCTTGTTGACCCACTGTCCTATCTTTTTCTATAGGTGCATGGTTTACATGTTGTCTAGCGCTCTGTTCTTCCAGTTGGAGACTGGGTGACACCAGGCTGTTCACTAAGGAGGTCCCTAGTTGTCCCTTAAGCACAAGGCTAGCTTAGGCAATTGTGTTATTTGGGTGACTGAGGACCACAATCACTCACTCGTCCCATCAGAGGCTACTGCCCCTTAGAGGAGGAGCTGGGGTGTCTGTGTGTGACAGCTGTGAGCTCACGTGTGGCTTGGCCTCCTGATTTTTTTTTTAATTTTATGTGTATGCGTATATTGCCTGCATGTGTGTAAGTGCACTCATGTTGTGCAATGCCCGTGAGGACAGAAGAGGCCACCAGATCCCTGGAACTGGAGTTACGGACAGTTGTTAACGGCGCTATGGGTGTTGGGATTCGAACTCGGGTCTTCTGCAAGAACAGTCAGTGTTCTTAACTGCCCAGCCATTTCTCCAGCCCCAACCTCCTGGTTCTTTCACTCACCTGGATCAGCTGGCCCCTTGAGCTGCTGTACCAGAATCACATAGGAGAACTTAAAGTAGGTTGCCTCAGCTTGATTACAAAGCAGTGTGCTTTTCTTTTGTTATTGCCCTTCTGGGCACTTCAGTGTTTGTTCTCAGCAGCGGGGCTTAGAATAGGGAAAGGAGAACACTGGGGTTTTGTGGTGGTCACTGTGCCTCAGCTTTACCGAAGAAAGCATTTAGTCTCCTTTAGGAGTAGGACGGCAGTAGATGTGTGATACGAGAGCTAATGACCGAAGTGGAGCATGGGCAGCAGCTAGGAGAGACCTGAAGTACTGGCTGGCCTGGCCTGGATAAACAAGCCCTGCCTTTGGGTCTCAAAGGCAGACAGGAGACCCTGAGGCAAAGGCTGTGGAGACTGTCCACCAAGCCATGTATGACTAAGAAGGAACAAATGTCTCCCAGGCCTCAGTGTCCCTGATAGCTGAGTAGGGAACTTGGATGTCTGGTGTAGGGCTGAAGTTCTAGGAGGATTCCCTCTCATCCCTGTTGACTGTTCTATGAAAAGCTTCCCATTTTCCCACACTGCCTGATTCTTTCTCAAAAATATGCCTTTTGCAGAAAAAACTAAATTGGTTAAAGATCCTTCTAATAAACTAGATAAGAAGAGGGCTCTGTCTTCACTGTCCTCTTCCCACTGCAGAGGGCAGCGTGCCGGCCTCCCTCCCACTGCAGAGGGCAGCGTGCCGGCCTCCCTCCCACTGCAGAGGGCAGCGTGCCGGCCTCCCTTCTGGGCCTCAGCTTGGTTGTTGCTCATCAGCCAAGATGACAGTCTCCACAGAACCTCCAGGCTAGGACTTCCGCAGCCATCCTGGATTAGAGTCAGTGTCTAGGAGCACTCTCCACTCAGGCTGGCGTCTCCCACAGCTCTTTTCTGTGCTCTTCCCGTGCATCTTCATATTCAGCAGCCTGATGGTCAGTGCCTGCTCTGAGTCACTCTTAGTAATGTGCTTTTCTGTTTGTTTCTTGAGACAGAATCTCAGTGTGTCTGTTGCCTAGGCTGGTCTTGAATTCATAGGGTCAAGTATAAGCTGTGACTACAGGCAAACACCATTGTACCCAGAAATTCTCTGTAATCTCTATAAAGTGTGTTGGCTTAAAAGTTACTGGTTTTTGTTTTCAAAATTTTAATTTCAGACTTGGTAGTCTCTTTCCTTTTATATGCAGGTGTTTTCATGTCCATATATAACTTTGGGAAGTATAAGCCCGTCTTTGCTCTCACATAAGACATTTGTGACGATCAATTGCTGGTCCTCGCTACCCTGTGTATCTAGGAGTTTGTGGCAGAGCAGGTTAACTCGCTTGTTCTTTGACCACTCTAGAACATGTGAAGGAGCAGAGCTGGGGGCAGAGTCATTTTTAGAACCCAGAATACGTTACGGAAGCAGCTCTAGAGTCTGTAGTCTGCAGCAAAGTGCGTCACTGGCTCTGCCACTGGAGACCACTCCATGTCTCAAAATGTCTTTCAGACACCGAAAATGTTTGCTGTATCTTTACTTAGTACAGACTAACCCCACTGTCATTTTCCTAGAACTTTTTAAACTCTTCAGATAATTCCTCCCATCCAAGAAAACACAACTTTGAAATTCTCAAGGAATGATAGAGAAACCAAGCCCGGCCAGGAGGTGGAAGGTAGCACTCTGCTCACTGCCGCCTCCAGCCGTCAGGGAAGGGCCTGTTCTCTGCTTGCTTAGCACTTTGGCAGTCGTGCCCCTGTGGTCTGAAACTCTGCTGCAGCCCAGTGTCTCGTTCCCACAGGTGCTACTGTTTCTGAGCACAGCAACCCCCACCATTGTGTTTCTGTCCACACCTGCATGCTACAAACCTCCATGTGCCACACCTGTGTTCTGAGCACTGCATGGACCCTCATGCCATGCCCATCCCTACCTCTGCTCTGTTGAAAGGTACCTGTTTTCAAAGTTAGTTCATGATTTCCTCCAATTTCACCTGTCTTCTTTAAACATTGGCTGTAATCAACTACAGTCTGTTCAAGAGACAGGCAGATACCTTGGAACCTATCTTCAGGCTCTGTCTCCTCTACAGGAGTCTCAGGTGGCTCTGCTAAAGTTCTAGGAGATTGATACGGAGAGCACTAGACTAGCTCAGAAGCCAGAAATTGCCATAATTCCATAATGCCTCCTAATGTCTCTGGGTACAAAGAAAATGAATAGGTTTATATAGTTTTCTTCTCGCTGAGTTGGACTGAGAGTTGATCCCACAAGAGAAGCCTCCCAAACACACCAAAAGAGGCACCCACATAATGGAAGCATGATCCAACAAAGAAACAGAAGGCAGGGCAGCATGTCTTCTCAGAAGCTTATAACCCTAATACCCAATTTCAAACAACCACAAGGTTATAATGCTAGACCAAGAATTCAAAGTGCGATGGTAGCGCTGAGCAGTGACTTTAAAGAGGACACAAAGACTCTGGTGAGTGAAATAAGGAAGTCCATTCAGGACCTTGGTAAGAGAAGACGCTGAGATTGTAAAAATGAAGAAACACTGGAAATGGAAGCTCAATAAATCAAATAGCCAGTGGGAAGCACTAAAACCGACAGGACGGAGCAGAGGAAAGAGTGTCAGGGCTGAGGACAAGATCAAAGAAATACTACATGTAGACATCGGCAAACTCACAGAGGGGCCGAGGTGAAGGCTCCTTGGGAAAGCATTTGCTGTGCAATCATGAGGACCCAGGTTTGGACCCCAGCACCCACAAAAATGCTGGATGTAGCAGTATGCGTTTGTAACCTTAGCATTGGGGGTTGGGGAAAGGAAGGTACAGACCAGCAGAGTACTGGGGCGCCATGACTACTGCCAACCAAGACTGCGGGCCAGTAAAGTTACCTTTTAAAATCAAGAGAGAACTAAAAGGCCTTCCAGGAGAACACAGGTAAGATAAAGCAATCCATACCCACTAAGCCAACCTTGCAGAAGATACTTAAAGGAATCTAACACATGGGAGAAAGTCATGGCCATGAGACCTCGGCAAAGAAGGGCTATCATGAGAGGGCTAGATGAATAGAGAAGGCGGGAAGGGTTGGTCCTTTCCAACACGGCAGAACAACGAAACCCTGATATGAAAACCAGTGGAAAAAGAGCAACATTCAAAACAAACAAGAAATTGCAGGTATCAGAAAGTCGTTATGATAATAACCCTAAGTGTAAATCATCTTAATTCTCGAATTAAAAGGTGAGGGCTGGCCAGCAAAATGGCTCAGTGGATAAACTACCCACCACCAAGCACCACTACCAAGCTCTGGAATCCACAGAGTGGAAAGAGAGAACCAACTTCCACATGTTGTCCTCTGACCTCCACACATATGCCTTGGCATAAGAACATGCATGTGCACACACACATAATCAAATGTAAAATTAAAACTTTTAAAGGTGAAGATTGTCTGACTGTATTAACAACCAAGATTGAACTATTTGTTGTCCACAAGAAACAAATCTAATTGACAAAGA